TCTTGTTAGATAGTTTATTGTTCTTTTCTAGTTGTATGTTGTTCTATGTTGTTGTTTCATGTTGTGTTGTTGACAAATAATCATGCGGTTTCACATGTTGATAATATTCATGGTGTTTGTAGGACTCAAGAAACAACAACAGCAACAAACTTCATCTAGTTTGAGAAGCTATGAGAAGAAATATAAGATGTATGAAGCTATTATGTAAATTTCATCCACCTTATACTTCTTTTTCATGGCTTCACAAACTAGATGAACCTTATATGGTGACAATGATGGTGGTAGAAAGCGTATAACATGAGTTGATAATGGTATATATAGTTTGTGTAACAATGAAAAAAATACAAGAAGTATGAACTCATTGTGGAAACTTCATTCACCTTGTATTTATTTTTCAATGCTTCATAAACCATATGAACTTCATAGGTCCACGATTATTTTCAGTAAAAGGTGCATTCTATAAAAAACTTAATATATTTTGTGATATTGTATGTTGTTAGTGTTTTGTTGCTAAAATGTATGTTGTTTATTGTGTTACATGTATTTGTTGTGTTTTTGTATGATGTTTTTGTTGACAAATATTCTCAAAACAAGAACAAAACGTTTCTAATTCATAAGAAAAATGCTTATTGCGACTTAACAATGATTTTTTCTTTAAATTCTTATAAAGATTGACATGTCAAGATGAAGTATAGTTTATTATATACTATGTATGTTGTTTGTTTCACTAACCTTTTAATGTAAATGCAACCATTTAAATTGACATAGAAACTATAATCTGAATATTAAGATGTATTTAAAAACCAACCTATATCAATCATTGTATTCTGAATTGCATGTGTCTCATTCAACATATTTTATGTTCCTTAACCCATAATATATGATTCAATGGTCAGTTTCCTACAATACATCAATATCTTTTATTTTACTTTACCTCGTCGTCGCGTAATTGTTAAGATCATGATTATTATGATGATAAGTCATCATAACAATCACGATGATAAGCGACAATGATGAGGTAAATAATAATAAAAGATATCGATGCATTGAATGAATCCGGCCATTGAACCATATATGTGTTAAAGAACATAAAATGTGTTGAATGAGACACATGCAATTCTGAATACAATGGTGTATTTAAGTTGGTTTTCAAGAATAGTTTAATTTCATATTATATACTTCTTTACCAATTCTAATGATTGTATTTCTTTAATGAGGTGTATGGTAAAACAAGCAATATACATTTGTATTTAATAAACTATGGGTACATTCCATAACATTTTTTTTATATTAACCATGATCTAATGTAATTTAATTGCTGCTGAGTTCAAACCCAGTACCTTATATATAAAAACGGTTAATAAACATAACCGTTGTGATATCACATGAGATAACCAGTATACTACAATGGTCACGGGACCGTGATTGTTAGTAGCAAATTTACAACAACACTCTATACAACAATCGTTGTTAAATGAGTTTTTCGTAGTAGTAAGGTATGCAAGTGATTACTCAAGAGATTTGAGATAAAGCACCACAACTCTATAGTAACATCGACTGAGCCAAGATTATAATTGACAAACGACTCAAATGAGATAGAAGTTAATCTGACACAATACATAAGACTCATTAGATTACTGAGATATCTTTGCCACACAAGATCTGATCTTGCATACAATGTAGGTATGATAATCAGATTCATGCAAAAGCCAAAGCTATCACAACTAGCGGCTACTAAGAGGATACTAAGGTATATTATAGGCACATTGGATTATGGTATTTTGTTTTCAGCAACACATAAATGGATTGTGTGTAAGCTTGTTGGATATATGGATTCTAGTTAGTGTGGTGATGTTGATGGGAGAAAATCAACAACATAATATATGTTCTTGTTATGTGTGGTGTACTACTAATTTGGAGTTCAAGGAAGGAGCCCGAGGGGGCATTGTCCTAATGTGAAGCATAATACATTGTAGAATCACTTTTGTGCGTGTCAGGCTGCATGCATGGCTGGTAAATATAATTGATTAAATTGAAGCTCAACATTATGGAGTTATGACTATAAAGATTGACAATATTTCAGTTATAAAATTGTCTAAGAACCCAATTGCACATGATATGAGTAAATATATAGAAATAATATTTTACTATCTTAGGGAGAAAATTAGCAACCGAAAATGTGTCTAGACCATTGTAGAAGGGAAGACTAAATTGCACACATAATGACAAAGACAATTCAAGTTGAAGTGTTTAAAAAGCTCTGGGTTTTTATGTGGTTATAGACTTTGGCCACAATGATTCAGGTGAATTAGATAATATGTTGACAGTAATTAATTTTGACTAATTGTAATTACTTATAGTACAAGTTATAATTAGTTTTGAGTTTGAAAAATTCTTTTATTAAAATTAAAGTTAGTTGGAGGTTTATATTACAAGTCATATCTATATAAACACTTGTACCATCATTATTGAGTAGAGTGTGAATGTGATTACTCTTCCCTCTCAACTCTCATTCATTCTCACCAAAATTATAGTGTCTCTCCAAGGCTTATCCATTTTCTGTGCTCGTGATTTTGTGTCAACAATAGTTATGTTAAAATTTAGTTTAGAAGTTTTCTTGATAGTTTTTATTTAAATGTGTTATTACTTCTGATTATTTTTGTAAGAGACAATTTACTTTTTAAATACATTAAATAATACATTGAATATATATATAAAAGTTATATATGAATTATACATTAATTATTTAATATGTTCAAAAGTAAATACTCTCTTATTTGGATCCGCAGACGTTTTGATGTACAATCCGATGGTGGGTTTGAGGGATAATGATTTTAGTGTGAAACAAATAACTCTTAAAACTGTTTTAAGTAAAGTGGTCAAATATGAAGAAGTATATTCTGAAAATCAACATGTTTTATATCATTTACGTTTGACACTTTTGATTTCCTAACACCAAAAACAATTGATCTTGTACTGAAAATTTAAAAATTTATGAATAGCAATAACGTATCTTCTAAATTTATAAATGTAATTTAAAAAAAAATTGATTTACTATAAAAAAGAAGTATCATTATAATAATCTCAAAACAATTAGTTTAGCTTCACTATTTTTAAGTATAAATTGAATGATTTTTTACACACGACTGCAATATTAATCTTTTGAACGGATACCGATTAACAAAATTCTCATTCAAAAGAGTTCGAAAGTATTGCATGGCTGAATTAGATGCGAACTCAGATTTCTGATTAAGTTAGTTACTTCATTATTATGGTATATAATTAAAAATAAAAATGTATATTAATTATCAAAATTATGTTTTTAGAAATACAAATTTTATAAGAAAAATAAATATTCTTTAATAAATTACCATAAATTTATTCCTTAAATATTACTCTCTTCCATTTAATCCTTAAAATATGTAAATACAATAAATAAACTTCTTTACTAAATAGCATAAAATTTATGAATTTAATTTATGCTATTAAAATGAAAGAAGTAACCTGATGAATTTTTATATATTTTAAATAACAAATCAACAAATTTCATATACTTTAGAAACTACTATTTATTAATTTTGTTTATTTTAGAGAATAAATTGAAGAAAAAATAATAGTTTAATGACTTCCAAGTTCCATCACGTAGCCTTTTGTTATCTGCTTGAATAATTTTCGTCTGGTCTGTTCCAGTTTCCTCCATCGTGGCCGTTTTTTCCTCCATCATAGAAGGATTATATTTCCTCCATGGTGAAATTCAAAACTAAAAATCAGCGCTTAAACTGAAATAACGAAAAAAATAAACATAACTTCCTTATATAGTGGGTGAAAATAAAAAGAAACTTCCTTATATAAATGATTATCGTGGTAACAATTATTAGAGGGAAAGGAATCGGCACAAGCACTTGATCACTCAAGGATTCTCCAAGGGTTTTTCAGGGTTAAAAAGGGTAGTGTTTTTTCTCAAAGTTTGTTGTTTTTGTGATTTTTTTTTCTTGTATATATTTTAATGTTATTAGATCACTGTGTTATTGATCGTTGATAAACATGATGCATGAGAGATAGTACTAATTTGCTTTGGCTTTACGTTGATAAAAACTACTTTTTTTTATACATTATTTACGGTAAACATAATGTTTTTTTAGGTGAAGATGTGTTTTCATTTATTATTGTTTCTGAGAAACAATATAGTTGAAATGACTATGTTGTTATTAGGCCTTCTGAGCAAGGTTTAATACTATCTCTTATTAAAATTATATAAGAATAGAAAATTTAAACAAAAAAATAGAAAAATTTTTAAATAAAAAATTGTTTGCAGTAGTCTTTTTTTTCAAGTTTTAATGAAAAATCAGTTTTGATGGCGAATTGTTTTATAAGTGATTGCCATATTACGAAATCTTCATTGACATAAATTGAATTGATTTGACCCACTTGTACATGTTTTCTTGCTTAAAATAAATAGTTTATTTTCTCTTCATGAAATTAGGTTTTTTTAAAGCTTTTTTGAATGCTTCTGATTATTGGAAGTTTATTGTAGGATACCTATAATGGCTTGAATGTTACTCTTGGAATTTTGCAGCTACTGAATTTGATGTATTAACTTTTTCTGAGGTTGATCCAAATGAGTTGTTACATTTTTCTCTATTAGCAATAATCCATTCTTGTTTGACTCTACTGACATCTTGTTTTTTTGATGTTCATCAATTTGTAGATAGAAACAAGTCTCAAACTTATTCAGCTTCTCTCTTGTTCAGTTTGCTAGAAAGAAGCTTCTATATATATTTGCTGAGGTAAGACTGTTTATTTATATAATCAATTACAGTATTCTTTGATTTTCACCTTACTTGTCGAAGAAGAAACCTAGTATATGACCTTTCAAGTTAACTTAACACATGCTCTTTTCTCTTTTTTTTAATGATCTTTATGAATTCTCTTACACATTTCAAACATTTTGGTTCAGTACCAGTTACTTTGCGACACTTGATTTTGCAAAGATGAGCAAAATGACTGCACAGAAAAAACACATTGAACAGATACGTAGAGAAAAGTACTCCATTGGAGGCAACGCAAACCCTTTGACTAAGGACCTTCACCAAGCTGTCATGAATCTCTCAAATGAACTGTATACTAGAGATGTTCACTTCCTCATGGAACTCATTCAGGTACCAGACCTAGTCGCATTTTCGTCGTTTTGTTATATTATTGTTTAGAAAGATGCTAGCAACCCATTTTGCAAAGGAATTATTCTTTAGTTCTATATCCATCTAGAATGAGGCAATTATATGTAATATTGTAAATACGGTTCATATACATCACCTTAAAATTTTACTTATATAGAATGCAGAAGATAACCACTATAGTGAAGGAGTGAATCCAACATTGGAGTTCATCATAACTTCAAAGGACATAACCGCTACTGGTGCTCCAGCCACTTTGCTTATTTTCAACAATGAAAATGGTTTTTCTCGCCAAAACATTGAATCTATCTGCAGTGTTGGACAATCAACAAAAAAAGGCAATAGGAACAGAGGTTACATAGGCGAAAAAGGTATGTTTTCACATTTAATCTTCCTTTTCCTTTGAGTTGGACTCATATTTATGTTACGGACTTGTTTTACTTTACTGTTCCATTAGATTAACCAAATCGTAGAAGATTATCCAAATATTTGACAGAATCTCTACAATGGCTGCATTACAGGAATTGGTTTCAAGAGTGTGTTTCTGGTGACTGCTCAGCCTTATATTTTTAGCAACGGGTATCAGATAAGGTTCAACGAGAAGCCTTGTCCAAATTGCAAAATTGGATATATAGTTCCTGAATGGGTTGACGAAAAACCAACTCTTTCTGATATAAAGCAGGTATATTGTGCTGATAAAGATTCTCTTCCAGCTACCACAATTATTTTGCCTCTGAAGCCGGACAAGATCGACCCTGTGAGAGAGCAGCTCTCGAGTATTCACCCGGAAGTTATACTGTTCCTTTCAAAAATCAAACACCTTTCCGTCAAAGAAGATAACGAGAATCCCAAAAAGAACACTGTAACTGCTGTGTCTATTTCAAGCAAGGTCAATTTTGTGACAAGGAAAAACATGAATGCTGAGTCGTACACACTCAATCTATCTGCGGGGGAAAATCGTAGTAATGAAAAGGAATGCAGCTACTTTATGTGGAAACAAAAGTTTCCTGTCAAGTTGGAAAATGTGGTGGAAAGGAGAATGGATGTGGAAGAGTGTGTTGTGACCTTGGCCTTCCCACAACAGGAGAGGGTTCACAAGGGTAAGAAGACCCGGAAGGTTAAGGTCTTACCAGGGGTTTATGCGTTTCTTCCTACACAGATGGTTACTAATTTGCCCTTCATTATTCAAGCAGATTTTGTCCTTGCCTCGTCAAGGGAGACAATTGTCTTGGGTAATAAGTGGAATCAAGGGATACTTGAATATGTTCCATCAGCTTTTGTAAATGCATTCAAAACACTTGTCACGGGATTAGATGAATATCCAGTATCCAGTTTGCCTGATATGTTCAGGTTTCTTCCAATTAATAGTACTCCTTTTGAGGACTTCAATCATGTGATTGAGAAAATCAAAGAAAAACTGGCTGAAGAAAAAATCGTTCCTATTGAGACATTCACAGATAAGACGCACTTCTATAAGCCAAGTGAAGTTAGCAGGCTACTGCCTAGCTTTTGGAGTATTTTGACAATGGCCCAAAAGGAAGGAGTGTACTTGCGTGACCTATTTTCTCATGAAGGGATGAAAATCTTGAGTTCTTCATTTGATAAAGGCATGTATGATACAATACTGCAATTTTTAGGCCTCAAACTTGTGAAGTTTGATTGGTATGCAAATTGTATACAGAGTTCTAATCTTTTGGATGGATTATCAGAAAAGCTATATGTTCAGCTTTTACTCTTTGTAGCTAAAAATAAAACGAAGCGCTGCAACATCGATAATATTCCATTGATTAAATATGTGGCTTCGGATGGGTTTCCGTATTTTTTCACTATTGAAGAATGCAAACAGCAGGGTGCAGGTTCCAAGCGAGTAGTACTAGCTGCAGACTTAAGTCAGACTTCTTGGTTGATCGATTGGAACAAAGCATTGGGATGTTCTGCTAACCATTTTTTTATGCCAGAAAGCACACAGCAAGCTATCTCGAAATTGTCCTTAAAGAAGTCGGATTTGTACTCAAAGAAGACTTTGTTGGATTGGCTAGAAAAGGAGGTTGAAATTCATACTCATAATGTGTACAATTTTGCAAAAGTCCTCTCTAGTTTTGTTGAAAAAAACAGCAAGCTTTCCATTCCATATGCTCATTTCTTATACCACTCTTTATCAAAGGGTTATTTGTCAAGTCAGGAGGTTGATGATTTATGTAGTTCTATGCCACTCGTGGACAGGCAAGGGCGTAGAACTAAAACCAGACAAGGGGTTCTTCTGCCTGCTAACGTCAGCAAATGGGCAAACTTAATGGTTTCTAATCCATGGAAAAATGAAAATTATGTTGAGCTAGGAAAGGGGTACCTAAATGCATCTTCTTATGCCGGCCAAACTACAGATTCTTGGGGTCTTATTGAATTCCTCAAAACGCATGCCGGGGCTTCTGACATACCTTATTTATCTCCTCCAAATGCTGGATTTTCAGCTGCAGATACACCACTTACCAAAGACAATGCCTTTTTGCTTTTGGATTGGATTCGGGATCTAAAGCACAAGGGAGTGCAACTACCAGAGAAGTTCTTGGAATGCATAAAAGAAGGCAACTGGCTTAAAGTTTCAGGTAGTAGATACATATCTCCTTCAAATTCATTCTTGATTGGTTTATCATTGGAAAATTCTTGCAAAATAAATCGGTTCTTATAATCATTACCTTGATTAATGAGAGCTTCTATGTTTCAGGCAGTAGATACATATCTCCTTCAAAGTCATTCTTAATTGGTTCATCATTGGGAAATTTTTTGCAAAATAAATCAGTTCTTATAACCATTCCCCTGATTGATGAGAGTTTCTATGGGGAAAGAATATATGAGTACAAACCGGAGTTGGAAACAATTGGAGTGATGTTCAATTGTGAGGAAGCATGTGGATTCATCGGAAAAGAACTAATGTCTTTTGCAGCTTCTTTTTCTTTAAGCAGGAATGATATTTTTGTCATGCTTAAATTCATAAAATATCACAGAGAAAGTCTTCTTCCTTTGGATAAATATCTCGACAGCATCAGAAAGGAAAGTTGGCTAAAGACATCTTGTGGTCTCAGGTCTCCTGTGGGATCGGTGTTAAATGATTCAGGATGGCAAGTTGCATCACAAATTAGTGATATCCCTCTCATTGATGATGCTTATTTTGGTGAGGAAATATATAATTACAAAGAGGAGCTCAAGTTGCTTGGAGTGATAGTGGAATTAAGTGGAAACTACCAAGTTGTCGTAGAGCATTTAAAATCACCTTCAAATTTGACCGTCTTGACAGCCGAAACTGTTCATTTGATGATGGAATGCATCAGACACGTGAATGCCCCTGCTCGTATTAAACTCTTAAAGTCGCTTCAGGGAATGAGCTGCTTGAAGACAAACATGGGTTTCAAAACACCAGGTGAATGTTTCTTGTCTGACCCGGTGTGGGGCTGCATATTGGAGGTATTCTATTGTCTTCCTGTTATTGATCATACATTTTATGGGGAGAAGATTTTCTCTTACAAACATGAATTGAGGCAAATCGGGGTGGTGGTTGATTTTGTATATGCTATCAAAAAGTTTGCTTGTATCTTCGAAGACAAGGCATCGGATACTTCTTTTAACCAACAGCATGTTATGTCCTTTCTCACTTGTTGCAGACAGCTGAAGGGAACCGAATATAGTTTTCCTTCTGATTTCTCAATCATCATACATAAAATGAAGTGGTTGCAAACTAATGATGGTGGTTTCAGGTGCCCAAAAAAATGCATTTTATATGGTCCAGAGTGGGAGTCTATATCTTCTATAACTAGTCTCCCCTTCATTGATGCGGGACTACAAGAATACAAGGAAGAGCTGAAGAGCATCGATGTTGTTACTGAACTGAAAGATGGATTGGAGTTTGTGGCTGAATGTCTGAATTTTCCTTCGGATCCCTCCACCATTAGTCCTGAAAGTGTGTTTTCTTTACTAGAGTGCATCCAGCTTCTAATGCAAGATAGCAAGTTTACAATAGAAGGTGATTTCAGAAAAAGATTGTCTGAGAATTGGTTGAAGACACATGTTGGTTATAGGCCTCCAGAGAAGTGTTTGTTTTTTGATTCAAAGTGGAGTTCTGTCTTGAATCTAACTGATGGGCCTTTTATTGATGAGAATTTTTATGGGCCTAAAATTGCATCTTTCGAGAAAGAACTCAATGCAATAGGGGTCATTAATGAAGTTGAGAAGGGGTGCTCCTTGCTTGCCAGTCACATTGAGTCTCTCTCTGATCATGATACTATTGTGAAAATATACAAGTACTTAGATATTCACAACTGGAAAGCTGAGGAGAAAGAAGCAAGAAAGATTTGGATTCTGGATGGAAACAAAGGTGGTAAGTGGGTTGATTCTAAAGAATGCATAGTACATGACCCTGCTAAACTTTTTGGTTCAAAATTTTATGTTCTAGAAGATATCTATGATGACAGTAGTATTCTTATATTTTTCTGCTTTTCAATGGATGTCAAGAATAAACCTTCTGTAGAAGATTATGTTGAACTTTGGAATGATTGGGGGAGGTCAATAGAGCAATTGCCATATGATGCTTGTTGCAAGTTCTGGACATCTATCTCGAAACATTTGAGTACAAATCAAGAGAAAAAACTTGCAAAGAGTTTGATGAAACTACCAACAACATCCGGAAATGATGAAATATTTCTTGTAGACAAAGAAGATGCTTTTATTCCGGATAATATTCATATAAAGAAACTTTTTGAAAGAGAGAAAGTTTTTGTATGGTATCCTCAGTATAACACGACACAATTGTCCAAGTCTGAACTATCTGACATTTACAGAAAAATGGGTGTTAGAAATATCTCTGAATCACTACGCAAAGAAGAATCATCCTCAGTGAATGATGGTGGTGAACTAAACTACGTCGATCCAAACAGCATTTTCAACTTGAAGGGGTTGGTCAAGCTTGTTCTAGGTTTTCTTGCATGTGCTGCTAGCCTGAAAATGGAACCAAAAACGAGACATGAAGCTGTTCAAAGACTTATCAACTCGAGTTTCCACGAGGCAAAGGAACCAATCAATGTAAGCTATAGTTTATCATTATCATCGGGGGACACCATTACCAAGAAAGCAAACAAAAGGGCGCGTTGGGAAAGTCAAAATTGCAAGTTTATCATCCATAAGATGGAAGCTGTTCCTGGTGAAGCATTGAAATGTGCTACAAGTTTCTCTGAAGCAGTATCTGAAGGAATTTTGCGTGAGAATCAGGATCATGTCCCTGCACTCTTTGAACTAATCTCATTGGGTTTTGTCCTGAAATTTAAGAATGAAGAAATTGATTTTCTTATGGATTCTAAGAATCTGCACCTTGACCCTGAGGATGAGGAGTTCCTCAGTTCTGCCTTCCCTTATGACTAATTCTGTCCCTGCTTATTTTTGTTCTCTGAGATTATGTTTTTGTTTTTGTTTATTTAATTTTATGTGACTATGTGATTCTGTTGATGGCCGAATTATATAATTAAGTTGTCTACAATATTTGGCTTCCTTAACTTTTATCTTATGAACACATTCAAATAAGCTGCAAATGCTTGATACCATTATCTTATTTGCGTAAATTTGAAAGATTTATGACATGGCTTAGTTTCTCCCTTGTAGCATTGTCAATCACTTTTATTGTAAATAACATAAGAAAATTGTATCTGATCACATGTAACATAATAGTGGAAATGTGTGTATCAACTGCACCTAAAAGATCATCAAGAAGTGGGGTGTAGTTGACTACAGCAGAAGTTCAGATTCTGTTTTTCAGAGATATTAATCGAAATCTGGAAGTTCGGATTGATGGTGAGAGAAGGATTCAGATCTATTCGCACCATCAGCAGGTTCTTGAAGCCATATTCGTTGTCACAATGAATGATAGGTTTCAGTTCTGGTCTGGAGCAGGAAGTTTCTGATTCCGCTTGTTCTGGTGCATGGAAGTTTCTGATTCCGCTTATTCTGACGCATGGAAGTATCTTGGTTCATTTAAAGTGGAATTACTTCTATGTGCTCCAGAACAAGCAGGAACTATTGCAGTTTGCTGTGCTGACTGGTATTGTTGGAGTTAGCTGTTAGCTGATTTAGTGAGTAAGGAATAATGGCCAATGTGATCGATGGATTCAACTCCGTTATTGGAAAGATTGGTAAGTTCCAGCCTAATTTAAATCACTTTTAGATATAGATTAGTACTGCTGGTGCAGGCTGATTTTCCAACAAGTTTGCGGGCATAGTTTCTGTGACAATATGATGCGGTTAATAGCGTTTGGTAAATCAGTTTCTAGACAATTGTTTCAATGGTCATGAATATGTGTCATGCATATGTGTCTTATTAAGCATACTGTTAGAGGTATTGGAAATATAATTTAGTTAATGTCTACAATTCATAATGTTTATCCTTTAATAGGGTTTTTTGACATTTTCAATTTTAGTATAAATATGTTACCTAGACTATATATATTCTAACTCATTCATTCCTCTTTTGATATACTATAGTAATCCTCTTTGTTATCATTCATGCACCAACAAATTGGTATCAGAGCACTTGGTTCTGTTTTTCTGAGAAACACGAGTGATTGTGAGCTGTGTGTTTGATTTTAGTTCATTGTTTTTTGAAATCTTGAAACAAAAAATCTGAACAGAATCTGATTTTGTGGGTTGGGAAACAGTGTGTTTGAAGATCTGAAAAATCCGTGCAATGTTTAAAATGAGTGGAGACAGTAGTTTGAACACCAAACTTCCAGTTTTTAATGGCAAAAACTGAAACAGATGGATGATACAAATGTGTGTGTTGTTTGGTGCGCAAGATGTTCTGGATCTGGTTACAGATGGTTATGTATCAGCTGCAGCAGATGCAACTGAAGAACAGAGAACTGCTGAGAGGATGATGAGGAAGAGGGACCAGAAATCTCTGTTCTATATTCATTAGTGTGTGGATGAAAGTGTGTTCCAGAAGATTGCTGATTCGACAACGTCAAAAGGGGCGTGAGATTTACTGGTGAGATGTTACGGTGGTGACGCTTCAGTAAAGAAGGTGAAGCTTCAATCCCTACGAAAGCAATATGAGAACCTGAACATGAAGAGCAGTGAGAAAGTTTCTGAATATATCTCCAGAGTGATTCTGATCACTAACGAGATGAAGGCGTGTGGAGAAACTCTGTCTGAACAGGTAATCATAGAGAAGATTCTGAGGTCGCTTACTCCTCAGTTTGATTACATTGTTGTTTCTATTGAACTTTCTAAAGATCTGGATACCACGAGAATAGAAGAATTGTAAAGTAGCTTAGAAGCACAGGAGTAACGTCTGTCTGAGAGAACTTCTGAGAGAGAAGTTGAGCAAGCTCTGAAGGCTTCTTTTGTCAAGAAAGACCAGAAGCAGAATAAAGATGGTGATAGATTCCAGAAGTCAGAAGCCTCAACTTCTGATGATAAGAAATATCATAAAGCAAAGGAGATGTATGACAAAAGGAAGGTTCAATGTTACTCTTGTAAACAATTTGGCCATTTTGCCAGAGATTATAGGTCAAACAAGGAAAGGAAATCAGAAGAAGCATATATGGCTAAGAGAAACTCTGATGATGAACTTGTACTACTAATGGCTTCTGATTCTGATGGAAAATGCTCAGAAGATTGGTGGTATATGGACAATGGCTGTTCAAATCATTTAATTGGAAACAAACAATGGCTGACAGACTTTGACTCCAGAAGGAGAACAAAGATCAGATGTGCTGACGATAAGTATCTTAATGCAGAAGGTATGGGAGATGTCAGAGTTAGAGTGAAGAATGGGAAAGACATTCTGATCAAAGACGTTTGGTATGTTCCTGGTATTAGAAGCAATCTGGTGAGCGTATGTCAGCTGATTGAAAAAGGTTTCTCAGTTGTTATGAAAAACAATCTTCTGACGTTGTATGATTCCAATCAAAAGTTGATTATGAAGTCTGAACAAGGAGGCAACATAACATTCAAGGTAAATGTAGAAACAGCTGAAGCAACGTGTCTTAGTGCAGAAGGTGCTGAAGGTAACAGTAAGCTGTGGCATTAGAGGTTGGGGCATTTGAACTATAGAAGCTTAGGGCATCTATGTTCTAAGAAGCTTGTATATGGTATTTCGAAGATTGTGAAGCCTGAGAAGTCATGTGAGATATGCATGAAAGGAAAGCAACCTAGATTGCCATTTACATCAGAAGTAGCCCCCAGAGCGAAACATGCTCTGGGAGTAGTACATTCTGATGTGTGTGGACCATTTCCAGTACCTTCACTTGGAGGAAACAAATATTTTGTGTCTTTTGTGGATGAGTTCACAAGAATGACATGGGTAACACTCATCAAGTTCAAGCATGAAGTGTTTACTGAGTTCCAGAAATTCAAAGTGAAGGCTAAGAAGCAGAGTGGACAGAAGTTAAAAATTTTGAGAACGGATGGTGGAGATGAGTATAACTCTACAGTGTTTCAGAAGTTCTATGAGGAGAGTGGAATAGAACATGAGGTTACTGCTTCATATACTCCTCAGCACAACGGTCTTGCTGAAAGAAGAAACAGAACTTTGCTTGATATGACCAAAAGCATGCTGAAAGAGAAAAAGCTACCTCGCGTGCTATGGAGAGAAGTTGTTTCCATATCAGCATATATTCTGAACAAGTGTCCAATGAAGAAACTGAAGGAAGTTGTTCCTTTAGAGAAATGGACTGGAGATAAGCAAAGTGTCAGTCATCTGAATGTGTTTGGCTCTGTCTGTTACAAACACGTTCCAGAAGCTATAAGACAAAAACTGGATGATAAAAGCAAAGTAATGTTGATGGTGGGGTACCACAGTACAAGTGCGTATAAGCTTTATTGTCCAGAAACTAATAAAGTTGAAGTCAGCAGAGACGTTGTGGTGAAAGAGTCTGAAGCATGGGATTGGAACAAATCTCAATCAGATTCTAGTGTAGTGCCAACACTAGAGTTATCCTCTGAAGATGTTTTAGAAAGTTCAGAAGATGAATCTGATTCTGAAGATCCTAAAGATTCTGAAGATGAGTCATAAGAAGATTCTGGCAATGGATCTAATTCTGATCCAGATGCTGATGATGATCCAGAATCTGGTGGTGATCATAGTTCTGGAAGGGAAAACTCTGAAGGTGGTAACTCTGAAAGTAGTAGTTCCGGTGCAGCTTCAGAACAAGCCCAAAGACCACAGAGAATCAGACAAAAACCAAGAAGGTTTGTAGATTTTTACATGTTGCAGCATAATGAAGTTGACTCTGAAGGAGAAGTCATTCAGTGTGCCATGTTAGTAGATTATGAACCAGTGGGCATTGAAGAAGCTCTCAAGAAGAAAGAATGGCTTAATGCTATGAAAGAAGAACTTGATGCAATAGAAAGGAACAAAACTTGGAAATTGACTAAACTTCCAGATAAGAAAAAATCCATCAGCGTCAGATGGGTTTTTAAGTTGAAACTTAAGCCAGATGGTTCAATTGGCAAGCACAAAGCTAGACTAGTAGCTAGAGGTTTTCTTAAGAAACCTAGGCTAGATTACTTTGAGGTGTTTGCGCCTGTAGCTAGGCACGAAAAAATCAGACTGGTGATTGCTTTAGCTGCAAACAGAAATTGGCCTTTAATGCATCTGGATGTGAAGTATGCATTTCTGAACGGTCCATTACAGGAAGAAGTTTATGTGTCACAACCTCCTGGATTTGTGAAAAAAAATCAGGAAGGGATGGTATACAGATTGAATAAAGCTCTGTATGGACTGAAGCAAGCGCCTAGAGCTTGGAATCTGAAAATTGATTCGTTTTTCAAGAAGCAGGGGTTTCAGAAATGTGAGATGGAATATGGATTTTATGTACAACATTCTGATAATAATATGATTCTGGTGTGTCTCTATGTTGATGACATTTTGCTAACAGGTAGCTGCCCAGAAGATATAAAGAAGTTCAAAGAAGTTCTAATGAATGAGTTCGAGATGACAAATCTAGGAAAAGTGACATATTTCCTAGGGATGGAGATTCTGTACTCAAAGAAGGGTATCATTCTGCATCAGTTAAAGTACGAACTAGAACTTCTGAAGAGATTTAAGCTGCAGAATTGCAAAGTTATTGTGACACCATCAGAAACCAATCAAAAATTGGATTCTAACTCTGATGGTGATTCTGTTGATTCTACAACCTTCAAACAGTTGATTGGTTCTCTAAGGTATTTATGTAATACCAGACCTGACATTTGTTATGCAGTTGGATTGGTTAGCAGATTTATGAGTAATCCAAAGTGGTCTCATTTCCAAGTTGCTGTCAGAATTCTGAGATATATCAAGGGAACTCTGAGATATGGAGTGTTGTTTCCTTCTGAAAGAAAGACAGAATCAGAATTAGTAAGTTATTCTGATTCTGACTGGTGCG